TAAACTGTCAGGTATACATACATCTCAACCCATCACGTGGACACCTAAACTGTCAGGTATACATATATCTCAACCCATCACGTGGACACCTAAACTGTCAGGTATATATACATCTCAAGCCATCACGTGGACACCTAAACTGTTAGTTATATATACATCTCAACCCATCACGTGAACACCTAAACTGTCAGGTATACATACATCTCAACCCATCACGTGGACACCTAAACTGTCAGGTATACATACATCTCAACCCATCACGTGGACACCTATACTGTCAGGTATACATATATCTCAACCCATCACGTGGACACCTAAACTGTCAGGTATACATACATCTCAACCCATCACGTGGACACCTAAACTGTCAGGTATACATATATCTAAACCCATCACGTGGACACCTAAATTGTCAGGTATATATACATCTCAAGCCATCACGTGGACACATATACTGTCAGGTATACATATATCTCACGTGGACACCTAAACTGCCAGGTATACATACATCTCAACCCATCACGTGGACACCTAAACGGTCAGGTATACATACATCTCAACCCATCACGAGGATACCTAAACTGTCAGTTATACATACATCTCAATCCATCACGTGGACACCTAAACTGTCAGGTATATATACATCTCAGCCCATCACGAGGATACCTAAACTGTCAGTTATACATACATCTCAATCCATCACGTGGACACCTAAACTGTCAGGTATACATACATCTTTTCTGTTGACTACAACACCAAGGTTGTTTCTGCTAGACTAACCATATTTCACTTAGAATGCCTTTCTCGTTTCTACTTCATTTATGATTGGTGGTGAATGATGACGAAGCCCTCCCTGTGTCACGGAGCATGCTCTACGAAACCGAGCGTTTGCAGTAGGAGTAGTAGACAACTGCCCATTCATGTACCAACCAGGCAAAGTACCTAAGGAAGAGTCATTTTTGAGCTAAATTTTGATATGATAAGAAGACAACTATATACGAATAGCCCTGGCATTTTCCTATATATTTACTGCTGTTGTTGTTTAGCATTCAATCTATCATTTGAATCTAAATGGTAATCTGTGCATGGTGGGCGTTCCAGTAGGGTGTAAAATTGACGAGTCGTGAATACTATGACGCCATGTTGAAGACTTATCTTTATTCATGACCTATCAATGACGTACCATTGATTAACAAATGAACATTGGTACAATCATGAATACATACATTACAATGGACACTGTACAATTTGGCAGTCTAATGTTCAGGGGAAAATACAATCAAGGTGTATAGATTCATACAATGACAAAGTTACACCAGTACAGACGAATTGCTAATCCATTTTACAGAAGTCCTACTGACTCAGGCAAATGTAGTTAGTCACAAGAAACACTGCTGTTCACTTTCCTTGGGGTGATTGCAAAGGAATATCACACACATTTTGCAAACACCAATCACAATGCACAGGTTCAAGAGTTTTCTGCCATTACTATCAAGCCCAGTTGGGGACAATCTAATCATCACAGACTTCCTTGTATTTTTTTGCATCAAAATTCCAGTTTAGACGACGATTTCAGTAATGATTCATCTATGTTTATGTAGAATAAATGAGAATTATCATGGAATATGAACAATGTAAAATATCTATGAGACTAACACCATTCCTAACCACATTCTATTCAGTCAATTGCAAAGAAACCCACTAAGGGAGAGGGTGATTTAGCTAGAAATCGCATCCTTGCTAGTTAGAGAATAGATTACTGGTTCCTTACAACAGCGTTCTGGTGCCATAGAAACTAGGTACTTGCAACCAACAGTTATAAACTTATTACTTCTCAATACATTGTCATTTGAGCTTTGGATCTGATGGATTTACACATGCCTGTTAATTTGGCGAGCCACTGTTATGATGAGTGGTTGAGGAATCAAATTGCAAACAGGTATTTCATTCGACCTCTGCTTGACTTCACGTGTGTTTATGCAGATGTAACACAACATTAGGCAGGGAAAGAATCTTTGTCAAATAATCTTTAGTTCATGGTGAGAGATACACAGACGTGATCACTCAGACAAGCGATATAACAACATCAAAATAGTGTCATACTTAGTAATGTAACATAAAATCCAATTATGCATCAGTCAGGGCATCAGTCAGGGCATCGGTCAGGACACCAGTCAGGACATCGGTCAGGGCATCAGACAGGGCACCAGTCTGGGCATCAGTCAGGGCATCAGTCAGGGCACCATTCAGGGCATCAGTCAGGAATCAGTCAGGGCACCATTCAGGGCATCAGTCAGGAATCAGTCAGGGCACCATTCAGGGCACCATTCAGGGCATCAGTCAGGGCATCAGTCAGGACAGCAGTCAGGGCACCAGTCAGGGCATCAGTCAGAGCACCATTCAGGGCATCACTCAGGACATCATTCAGGGCATCAGTCAGGGCATCAGTCAGAGCATCAGTCAGGACATCAGTCAAGGCATCAGACACGACACCGGTCAGGGCATCAGTCAGGGCATCAGTCAGGACACCAGTCAGGGCATCAGTCAGGACACCATTCAGGGCACCAGTCAGGGCATTAGTCAGGACACCAGCCAGGACACCAGTCAGGGCATCAGTCAGGACACCATTCAGGGCATCAGTCAGGGCATCAGTCAGGGCATCGGTCAGGACACCAGTCAGGGCATCAGTCAGGACACCGGTCAGGGCGTCAGTCAGGGCATCAGTCAGGGCATCAATCAGGACACCAGTCAGGGCATCAGTCAGAACACCATTCAATGCCTCAGACAGGACACCGGTCAGGGCATCAGTCAAGGCATCAGTCAAGACACCAGTAAGGGCATAAGTCACAACACCATTCAGGGCATCAGTCAGGGCACCAGTCAGAGCATCAGTCAGGACGTCAGTCAGGGCATCAGACAGGACATCGGTCAGGGCATCAGTCAGGGTACCGTCAGGGCATCAGTCAGGGCACCAGTCAGGGCATCAGTCAGAGCACCAGTCAGGGCATCAGTCAGGGCACCAGTCAGGGCATAAGTTGGGACACCGGTCAGGGCATCAGTCAGGGCACCAGTCAGGGCACCAGACAGGACACCGGTCAGGGCGTCAGTCAGGGCATCAGTCAGGGCATCAGTCAGGACACCAGTCAGGGCATCAGTCAGAACACCATTCAATGCATCAGACAGGACAGCAGTGAGGGCATCAGTCAGAGCATCAGTCAGGACAACAGTCAGGGCATCAGACAGGACACCGGTCAGGGCATCAGTCAAGGCATCAGTCAAGACACAAGTAAGGGCATAAGTCACAACACCATTCAGGGCATCAGTCAGGGCACCAGTCAGAGCATCAGACAGGACATCAGTCAGGGCATCAGTCAGGGCATCAGTCAGAGCATCAGTCAGGACAACAGTCAGGGCATCAGACAGGACACCGGTCAGGGCATCAGTCAGGGCACCAGTCAGGGCATCAGTCAGGGCACCATTTAGGACATCAGACAGGACACCGGTCAGGGCATCAGTCAGTACACCAGTCAGGGCATAAGTCAAGACACCATTCAGAGTATGAGTCAGCACACTGGTCAGGGCATCAGTCATGGCACTATAAGGGCATCAGTCCGGGCACCATTCAGGGCATAAGAGAGGACACCGGTCAGGGCATCAGTCAGGGCACCGTTAGGACATCAGTCAGGGCATCAGTAAGGACACCATTTAGGGCATCAATCCGGGCATCAGTCGGGACACCAGTCATGGCATCAGACAGGACAGGGGTCAGGGCATCAGTCAGGGCATCAGTCAGAACACCAGTCAGGGCATCAGACAGGACACCAGTCAGGGCATCAGTCAGGGCATCAGTCAGAACACCAGTCAGGGTATCAGACAGGACACCAGTCAGGGTACCAGTCAGGGCATCAATCAGGACACCAGTCAGGGCATCAGTCAAGACACCGGTTGGGGCATCAGACAGGACAGCAGTCAGGACACCAGTCAGGGAATCAGTCAGGACACCGGTCAGGGCATCAGACAGGTCACCAGTCAGGGCATCATTCAGGGCATCAGTCAGGGCATCAGTCGGGACAGCAGTCAGGACACCAGTCAGGGCATCAGTCAGGACACCGGTCAGGGCATCAGACAGGACACCAGTCAGGGCACCAGTCAGGACACCAGTCAGGGCATCAGTCAGGACATCAGTCAGGGCATCAGTCAGGACATCAGTCAGGGCATCAGACAGGACACCAGTCAGGGCATCAGTCAGGGCATCAGTCAGGGCGTCAGTCAGGGCACCAGTCAGGACACCAGTCAGGGCATCAGTCAGGGCATCAGTCAGGACATCAGTCAGGGCATCAGTCAGTCCACCAGTCAGGGCATCAGTCAGGACACCAGTCAGGGCATCAGTCAGGAGATGATTCGGGGCATCAGACAGGACACCGGTCAGGGCATCAGTCAGGGCATCAGTCAGGACACCAGTCAGGGCATCAGTCAGGACACCATTCAGGACATCAGTCCGGGCATCAGTCAGGACACCAGTCAGGGCATCAGACAGGACACCAGTCAGGGCATCAGTCAGGGCATCAGTCAGGGCGTCAGTCAGGGCACCAGTCAGGATACCAGTCAGGGCATCAGTCAGGGCATCAGTCAGGACATCAGTCAGGGCATCAGTCAGGACACCAGTCAGGGCATCAGTCAGGAGATGATTCAGGGCATCAGACAGGACACCGGTTAGGGCATCAGTGAGGGCATCAGTCAGGACACCAGTCAGGGCATCAGACAGGACAGCGGTCAGGGCATCAGTCAGGGCACCAGTCAGGGCATCAGTCAGGGCACCATTCAGGACATCAGACAGGACACCGGTCAGGGCATCAGTCAGGACACCAGTCAGGGCATAAGTCAAGACACCATTCAGAGTATGAGTCAGCACACTGGTCAGGGCATCAGTCATGGCACTATAAGGGCATCAGTCCGGGCACCATTCAGGGCATAAGACAGGACACCGGTCAGGGCATCAGTCAGGGCACCGTCAGGACATCAGTCAGGGCATCAGTTAGGACACCATTTAGGGCATCAATCCGGGCATCAGTCGGGACACCAGTCATGGCATCAGACAGGACAGGGGTCAGGGCATCAGTCAGGGCATCAGTCAGAACACCAGTCAGGGCATCAGACAGGACACCAGTCAGGGTACCAGTCAGGGCATCAGTCAGGACACCAGTCAGGGCATCAGTCAAGACACCGGTCGGGGCATCAGACAGGACAGCAGTCAGGACACCAGTCAGGGCATCAGTCAGGACACCGGTCAGGGCATCAGACAGGTCACCAGTCAGGGCACCAGTCAAGACACCAGTCAGGGCGTCAGTCGGGACACCATTCAGGACATCAGTCAGGACACTAGTCAGGGCACCAGTCAGGGCATCAGTCCGGACACCGGTCAGGGCATCAGTCAGGGCACTAGTCAGGGAATCAGTCAGGGCATCAGTCAGGGTACCAGTCTGGGCACCTGTCAGTGAATCAGTCAGGGCATTAGTCAGGACACCAGTTAGGACACCAGTCAGGGTATCAGTCAGGACACAGGTCAGGTCATCAGACAGGGCATCAGACAGGACACCCGTCAGGGCACCAGTCAGGGCACTAGTCAGGGCATCAGTCAGGGCATCAGTCAGGGTACCAGACAAAGCATCACTCATGGCATCAGTCAGAGCATCAGACAAGGCACCGGTCAGGGCATTGGGCAAGGCATCAGTCAGGGTACCAGTCCGGGCACCAGTTGTGGAATCAGTCAGTGCATCAGTCAGGGCATCAGTCAGGGCGTCAGTCAGGGCACCAGTCAGGACACCAGTCAGGGCATCGGACAGGACAGGGGTCAGGGCACCAGTCAGGGCATCAGTCAGGGCATCAGTCAGGGCGTCAGTCAGGGCACCAGTCAGGACACCAGTCAGGGCACCAGTCAGGACACCAGTCAGGGCATCAGTAAGGACACCATTCAGGGAGTATCTGTTAGGGCATCAGTCATGGCGTCTGTCAGAGCACCAGTCAGGGTATCAGTTAGGGCATAAGTCAGGGAATCAGTCATCGTACCAGTCAGGGCATCAGTCAAGGTATCAGTCAGTGCACCAGTCAGAACAGCAGTCAGGGCATCAGTCAGGACACCGTCAGGGCATCAGTCAGGGCATCGGTCATGGCACTAGTCAGGGCATCAGTCATGGCATCAGTCAGGGCACCAGTCAGGGCACTAGTCAGGGCATCAGTCAGGGCAACAGTCAGGGCATCAGCCAAAGCATCAGTCAAAGCATCAGTCAAAGCATCAGTCATGGCATCAGTCAGGGCACCAGTCAGAGCATCAGTCTTGACATCAGTCAGGCCATGTAATGAATTACCTGTTGTTATTGCATAACAGCTAAATTGATAGAAAAATATATATCTGATTATCGGTCATTATTTCGCAGCAGCTAATTATAGAGAGCCTTCTGTCAGTTATTATTATATGTTGTTAATGCTTAACGACTAATTGTGGATAACACAATATCTAAATGTGCAGAACACGATATCGTTTGATATTGGTTGATATCGCATAGCAACCAATTATTGAGAATCGTTTTGTTTCCCGTTTGTATCTCTTAATTATAAACAAAATACTAACTTTGGTTAGCATATAATATTGCGCAACAGTTAAAATGACAATATTTGTGATTTTAACACTATTTCTTCAGTACATATATGCTTACATGTTCTAAACTTTCAGCCAATTTGAAGTTAAACTTTTGAAGTTATAGATGAAATCATTTTCTCAATTTCAGACATCAGATTATATGATGTCATACTTTACGTATAAGCGTTTGCTTTGATGAAAAGTTGAATATCTGGAGAATGAAAAATGATATAAAAAATGTGAATTGCATTCTCCTACATTTGCGGAGCTTTTTCTTGGGGGTCATTAATATTGTTTGGCTTGACTTTTCCTTTAATTATAGAGAACGATATACCTTTATTCAATTGTTGTTATTATGTAATTGCTAATTATAGAGAATTGAAGAGAACACAAAATCGTTTGTTATCTTTAACTGTGTAACAGCTACACACAATTGATTTATGTTGTTATTGCACACAGCCTATTTATGGGGACTGTCACAGTGTAAGGCCTGATTATCTCAATTGAGAGGGCCACCCACAGAATTCACACTGGACAGGGGGTTCTGTCACTGTTAGTATCAACCTTACTATGTGTCACATGCAACGTAATATTACCGTAATTGGTATAGTACAGGTGTGATGGTTCAAATACCAAAATGGCAACAGTAACAAAAAGACTTCCCTGTCGGCGATGATAAAATACGAACACGCAGCCAACAGATGAGGTTTCAATTGGTACTGGTATTATTATACTCTGCAAACATCAAGTACAATAACGCGGTAAAACTCCACTACTCCAATGACTAGATACTTAAACTTCAATACAATTCAACGAGATCTCCGATCTGAACTCAGTGCTGAACAACTCCCTTATATATACCCACACTGTCTATAAATAGACCATTACATCATCATACATAATGAGTCTGGAACTTACTACAAATTTCTAGAATGTTCCATTCCCTTCTATTGCCTCCTACAGTGTTCTATTACCTATTCAACCAGTTTCTAAAAAAAATCTAGAATATTCCACCCAGACACAGTACGGTTCTAGAACATTCTCAGTGACACGGAAGTGGTAAATAAGTCGTATGCGACACTATGCAACTGGAACTATAAGCCTACGTAATATCTTCTTCTAAGCTATCTCTTCTCATGTTCTCTCCTCATAAATTGGGTCAGCTCTTCCCCCTCATATCCCAATTCTCTACCTTGTAATTATTTTGAGAGGTATTAAAGCCTGGAGCTTTAACTTGATATTTTGATGTATGTGTATTTCATTTCCAGTACTATTGTCTTGTCTACCCCATACTAGCAGTGAAAGAACCCCCTGTCCAGTGTTAGTGTGCGTTCTGTGGGAGGCCCTCTCAATTGCGATAAGCAGGCCTTACACTGTGACAGGGACGTAGTATTGTTATTGAGTAACAGATAATTATGCATTAGAAAATTTCTGCTTAAAACTTTTCCAAATGGACTTGGATTATAAACTTTTCTCTGTGTTTTGTGTTTAGCTCCTATCTTGGGTACAACAGTAAATATTCTATTCATATCCAGAGAGGGAAGAGCCAACATGCATTTACGAGAAAATATTAAAGATGGCTTATTTACGTTATTACATGTAATATTAGGTTTTGGTGACTGCTAAGTCCATAGAAAAACACTAAATGAACCAAAAAGCATGCGTTCGAGACATACCTAGTATGCATAATTTGATTTGCCAGTACCTAATTCACTTTTAACACATTGGCGACTCTCTTGACATTGACTGTTCATTCTATTGACTTAGCTCTTGATGGAACTGATAACTGACGTACCAAACGTGCACAGAATAACAAAACACGGCACGTTGCATACGAATTAAGAGTTTCGAGCCGAAACGAAGAAAACAATATTGTTTGTTATCAGCTAAAAACAAATTATAGAGAACATAATATATTTTATTATCAGCTGTTATTGCATACCATTTAATTATAGTTGGTTATCTGTTATTGCTACGTAACAGCCAATATATATTACCCAATATCTTTTGAAAACAGCTTATTATCATAGCATTTGTTATCTTGTGTTGCCGTGTAACAACCAAATATAGAAAAGGCAATGGTCATGGTTCATCAGTTGTTATATCGTACAGCTAATCATGAATATCAGTTATTGTCAGTTAATAGTTTATTTCATGTCATCATAATGACTAATATATATTACACTTAGTCAATTATCCTCGTGTGTGTTTAGTTATTGATAGTTATCATTGGTAAGAGTATATATGAATCATTATTATGTTATGTTATAACATAGTAAGCACAATACAATGCATAACGTGTTACATAGTACTATCATCAATAGATTCACGGAATATTATCCGAGTGTCATAAACTCGTCAACACAATTATATGTATTTATGGGGTGATATGGATATGATGTCATCGCCTGAAACTATCATTTATTTCAAAACTTGATAGTCTGTGTTTACCCATGTAGACCGCCATTATCTTGGTTGGAGTAGAGTATTGTGACTAATGTTCGTTAGAAGTAATGGAACTGTAGTGTGTAATGTGATTATTATTGGGCTTGTCATATTGCGTGTATGGATGTAGGTGCAGTTTATATTATTAGTCAGGGTCACGTGTGCAATTACAGCTGAGTCCAATGTAAGCCATTCATTCACTTGCCACTTTGTTTGGCAACCGTTTACTACAGTCACTATGGCAACTGAAACACATCTCCACTTAGCCGATCAATGGAGATTGATTATTTAGAGAAACTACTGGCTATGCAAAATATAAAATATTGTTATTTAAATTAGTAGCTTCTATTGTTATTCCGGCCAATTCTTTAAAAACAAAAACTTATTGATCTGCATCAGTACTTTTCTTCGTTTAATGTCGATTTTGTTAGCCATTTTGAAAGCTTAATTTTCGCAGTGTCACGCACATATGTGTCATTGAATCAACAGAGCTGACAAATGATTGTTTTTAATATATTACTTGTCGGTCGTAACGCCGGTACCATGGTAATACAATGCCAAGTCACGTGCATCCCTCGCGGATATACCTGACGCCCCTCCTCATAAAATAGACATGTCCTAATTACGCTAAGTGTAGAGCAATTCCAATCGATTTTGAGCACATAGGGCAATACAGCTAGCAGACAGGTTTTTATTTGACCGCCATTTAAACATATGACGCAGAACCTTTCAAAATTATGCGTATATTTTTGTCTGGGAACCTAATTTGACATTATTTTATGGTCGTCTCCATCTCCTAAATATCGGTAAGTGTACCACTCATTCATATTAGAAAATCGGATCGGATCGTGTGTGAAGCTTCCATTTACCCCTAAGGACGTGACGTGATCGCCGATTCACCCCGGGCGGTTCTCGTCATCGTAGCAGTAACATATCAACATATCATATACCGTTGAAGTACAGGTACCGTAAGGTGTATTAGTAGTTCTGAACACATTCGTTTACCGTGTTAGAGGACGGTGATTCGACATGGGAAGCGGGGGATCCAAAAGGGCGCGTAGTGCTGGAAGTGAACAAAGCGATGATGGAAGAGAGAGAAAAAATGGAAAAAAGAAGAAAGAGAAGACATACTTGTTGCATACGCTGAAAGAACACACGGACGGTATTAATTGCATGTCTATGAGCGAAGACGGAAAGGTGATCGTAACAGGTGCTGATGATAACACTGCAATAATATGGGATTTGAAGACAAATGAAGCAAAACACGTTCTTAAAGGACACACGGGATATATCACATGTATACAGGTGTTTGCGGAATATGTCTACACTGGTAGCTCTGATAAGAAGGTCCGTAAATGGAATATTGACACCGGTAAATGCGAAGTTCTTGTTGAAGGACACGCTGCGCCAGTTACCCGATTAATTTGTACTGGTGATTTCTTATTTACAAGTTCGTACGATCGTACGGCTATGTGCTGGGATCCCGACGACGGTGAACTATTACATATATTTCGTGGACATAAACGGGGAGTGACACCATTAATGTATATCCCGGCAGAAGATGCCCTAAAAGATGACGTACTAGACATGGACTATAACAAAGACATTCTAATTACTGGTAGTGCAGACGCAACAGCCAAATCTTGGAACATGGATTCGGGAAATTGTTTTATTACTTTCAAAGGACACAAAGGTGCCATTTTATGTTTAGCAGCTGATCCAACGGGGACCATTTTGCTGACTGGAAGTGCCGACTGTACCATCAGAAGTTGGAATATCGCTACAGGTGAATCTTTCAAAGTGTTCGAAGGACACAAAGCATCCATTCTTTGTTTACAAGTAAGTACCAACCTGACTTGTTTTTTATGTTCATGTGTTTTATTATCTTATTTGATATGTTTTATTTTTGAGTGTGATAAGCCTCCATAAAAATTATTCTGATATAGTAACTCAGCCCTTCAGTTAAATAAATAAATAAATTAATGAATTAATTAATTAATAAAATCGCAATCCATCTTCTTCTTTTTTTAAATTAGAAAAAAACGCCTTACTATCACGGTGATATTTAGGTTACTAATTTGCTCTACTCGGATGAACAGTATCACAATATTCGACTTACACCGCTATATTCATGTTTAAATTATTAGCTACATATTCATCCGTCTTTAAAACATATATAAACATCAATGTATATCATTGTTTAGCAAAAACGAAATGACGAGCTAAAAAGAATTGGGGATATAGCATATACCCAGTTTCGATGGCACAAAATTGTCGATCAAATGGTTTCTGTGTAACAGTGTCCCACTTTCATTTAGTCTCAATATTACGTCACGTGACCAGTAATAATATGCTATTATTGCGAAAGTTTGAACTCAATCTATTGTACCAACGCCAGCGACATGCGTTGCTGATTAAAACAACGAGTGACGCCTCTAACTATAGACTAAAACAACAATAGACGAACCTTATTATAGACTAAAACCTCAATTATCGTCCGTCATTATGGATTAAAACAACGATAGATGTCTCTAATTATAGACTAAAATAACAATAGACAAACCTTATTATAGACTAAAACCTCAATTATCGTCCGTCATTATGGATTAAAACAACAAGAGAGACGCCTCTAATTATAGACTAAAACAACAATAGACGAACCTTATTATAGACTAAAACCTCAATTATCGTCCGTCATTATAGACTAAAACAACAATAGACGTCCCTCATTATAGACTAAAACAACAATAGACGTCCCTCATTATAGACTAAAACAACAATAGACGCACTTCATTACAGACTAAAACAACAATAGACGAACCTTATTATAGACTAAAACCTCAATTATCGTCCGTCATTATGGATTAAAACAACGATAGACGTCCCTCATTATAGACTAAAACAACAATAGACGCACTTCATTACAGACTAAAACAACAATAGACGCACTTCATTACAGACTAAAACAACAATAGACGAACCTTATTATAGACTAAAACCTCAATTATCGTCCGTCATTATGGATTAAAACAACGATAGACGTCCCTCATTATAGACTAAAACAACAATAGACGCACTTCATTACAGACTAAAACAACAATAGACGCACTTCATTACAGACTAAAACAACAATAGACGAACCTTATTATAGACTAAAACCTCAATTATCGTCCGTCATTATGGATTAAAACAACGATAGACGTCCCTCATTATAGACTAAGACAACAATAGACGCACTTAATTACAGACTAAAACAACAATAGATGAACCTTATTATAGACTAAAACCTCAATTATCGTCCGTCATTATGGATTAAAACAACGATAAACGTCCCTCATTATAGACTAAAACAACAATAGACGTCCCTCATTATAGACTAAAACAACAATAGACGTCCCTCATTATAGACTGAAACAACAATAGACGCATTTCATTACAGACTAAAACAACAATAGACGTACTTCAATACAGTCTAAAACAACAAGAGACGAACCTTATTATAGACTAAAACCTCAATTATCGTCCGTCATTATGGATTAAAACAACGATAGACGTCCCTCATTATAGACTAAAACAACAATAGACGCACTTTGTTATAGACTAAAACAACAATAGACGTACTTCATTATAGACTAAAACAACAATAGACGCACTTCATTACAGACTAAAACAACAATAGACAAACCTTATTATAGACTAAAACAACGATAGACGTACCCCATTACAGACTAAAACAAAAATAGATGCCACTAACTATTTTCCAATATAGAAAGGTTATAGAGGTATACTGTTTGTGATAGATAAGTTAGCTTTCTCTATAAGGTCATTGATGGGGTCAACAGTTCATATTTGAGATTTATTAAGCCATTTTAATTACATATAGAGTGTTTTCTAACGATATTGAGTTAGTGTCTAATGGTGGTGGGTGGAGTCAAGGTTAATATATACCATGCTATGTTGGCCACAGTACAATTATCGATCAACACAGTATGCTTTACTCAGCCTTAATTGCAAAGTCCATTCATTTAAATATGTATTTGTCATGTGACCACATGCTTTGCTCGTTGTTATGTTTTTATAACACGAATATGTCACGATTTTCCGAACAGTAATATTGATTGATGTGTGTTGTTAATTTTCCTGTGCGTGAAAGGGGCTTAGCCTCTGTATAACACAAGTGTATATATGACATACAGCACAGCTGTAGATGACGTATAACACAGCTTTATATGACATACAGCACAGCTGTAGATGACGTGTAAGGCAACTCTATATTTACCTATATGTAAATTTGTACAGGTAATTTGAAGCGCATATGCACTGGTTTTCATTACTGCGTCCGGCAAATACCACCATGTTTAATGTGTTAAGAACGCTTTTATTTTACATTAAAGCGGGACAGTCGTCACCTTGGGGTGCGGCAAACAGCCATGGCGTGCAGTTGTTTACAAACAAGCGTCTCCCCTAGAACCTTTGAGTTTTTAGCGTGCGTTATAAACGTCGATTGGGACTCAATTCCGCACAGGCGACGACCCCTCCGCTTTAATAGCAGAAAACTACCCACATTGCCTCGGATAATATTTAGAATCAGAAACAAACTACGAGAGGTACAAAGAATGATGTCTCATAAACAATATTGTCCCATGGTTGAGTTGTGCAGACACCCCTTTAACTGCTATATCCGTAAAGACAGACCACTAGCGGCTATATCCGTAAAGACAGACCACTAGCGGCTGTATCCGTAAAGACAGACCACTAGCGGCTATATCCGTAATGACAGACCACTAGCGGCTATATCCGTAAAGACAGTCCACTAGCGGCTATATCCGTAAAGACAGACCACTAGCGGCTATATCCGTAAAAACAGTCCACTAGCGGCTATATCCGTAAAGACAGACCACTAGCGGCTATATCCGTAAAGACAGTCCACTAGCGGCTATATCCGTAAAGACAGACCACTAGCGGCTGTATCTGTAAAGACAGACCACTAGCGGCTGTATCTGTAAAGACAGACCACTAGCGGCTGTATCCGTAAAGACAGACCACTAGCGGCTATATCCGTAATGACAGACCACTAGCGGCTATATCCGTATAGACAGACCACAAGCGGCTATATCCGTAAAGACAGACCACTAGCGGCTATATCCGTAATGACAGACCACTAGCGGCTATATCCGTAAAGACAGACCACTAGCGGCTATATCCGTAAAGACAGACCACTAGCGGCTATATCCGTAATGACAGACCACTAGCGGCTATATCCGTAAAGACAGACCACTAGCGGCTGTATCCGTAAAGACAGACCATTAGCGGCTATATCCGTAATGACAGACCACTAGCTGCTATATCCGTAAAGACAGACCACTAGCGGCTATATCCGTAAAGACAGACCACTAGCGGCTGTATCCGTAAAGACAGACCACTAGCGGCTATATCCGTAAAAACAAACCACTAGCGGCTATATCCGTAATGACAGACCACTAGCGGCTATATCCGTAAAGACAGACCACTAGCGGCTGTACGCATGATAACTTAGTGAAAGAACGATAACATAACTCATATATTTGAATAGTATATAATTAAATCATTGCAGCACTGGATAAAGACGTGTTTTTGTTATATTCTGTATGCTATTTACAAATTGAAATAGGATGTTGCATGAAAAACACTTATGGTGAGAGAAAACAATTTATTCCGAGTTAAATTTAAAATAATTTACAAACACTGACATCAGAAGTATAACTATTTCAGATACAGTACAGTAAGTACATAAAACACCGTTCGTATTTCAACCACTGTGAAATATTGCAAGAATAAATGGATACATTCCCTCTTACGCATATTTTACTTTGTTCACAAATATATTTATCTTTGCTTTCAGCGTTTCAAAACATAAAATTGTGGCCTTCAAAAATAACATTACTTAGTGCACGCTTACTGTTCACACGTAGATATCATTAATGGTCTGTAGACATGGCAAACGCCAATCTATGTACATAAACTGTCAGTATCTTGGCGACATCTCCATGGTGATGTGATTCTTCGTCGTTCACAAGATTAAAGAGAATTGTATTGCAATTGATAAAATGTAACTATTTCCTGTGCATATGATAGCTCATGGGCGCCATGGCAACCAAGGTCAAATGTTATGTTTAATTTACCTAGAAAAATGCAGTCATTTTTTCCCAATGTATGTATTCCAAATTAATAATTACAAGAAGCTTTCTTCGAGCTATTATTTTGACATTTCTGGTATTTAACAATAATGACGTAACGGATGCGTTAGCTGAATAAGTCGCAGTAATATTTTGTTCAACTTCTTCAGTATTTCTATGGTTACCAATACACAGGGCGAATAATGTGTTAAAAACTAACATATCCCAATTGTTACTCAGCATGGGCAAAATGATTTGATGAATTAGTTGTAATATTACTAATGGATAATTACTTATTTTACTACTATAACATATTTTAGTTCTGTCTGTGCTGCGTGAGGTGTATCGTTGGTGAAGGGCGGCTTTATACGCAGCTAAATTAGTTATTATTTTGTGGTTTTAACATGTATGCCTAATCTGGCATGTAGTTCCATTGTTGTCTGGTCTGCCCAAAGATTCGATTCCTGTCGTAGTAGTCATGACAACATTGTAATCGAGAATAGCGGATTGACGTGGATGACTGCAATTTACCCCCAATTTGGGATCTGTAAACATATATTCTTAATTTTTTATTTTATTATATTTTTGAAATTGTTAAATCTCACTCTGTACAATTCATATTTTCCAAGTTATATTTATATTTATTTTTTTATTTTTTTGTAAATGTATTTTAGTCCAGATGGT